GGATAGGATAGGATAGGATAGGATAGGATAGGATAGGATAGGATAGGATAGGATAGGATAGGATAGGATAGAGGGAGGGAGGGAGGGAGGGAGGGATGATAGGCAGATGATAGATAGATGAACCAGTTTGATCTAGTAGTTAAGCTGCTGGATAGGACATGACTTTGCTTTCATTTACATTTTGACCCTGTTTTCATGTCCTGGTATAAGTTGACACTGTAGACTCCCGGAGGCAGGAACCTTTTCTTCTCTGCTCTGGCTGGCTTGTTTTTATTATTACTTTGCAAACTGCCACCAGACGGTCCCTCCCAAAATCAGCTAATGAAAAACCGGAGCCTCCAGGAAATCCGCCCAGCGAGGGGCAGGGGGAAGGATACTCCGGGCGTGCTTCTCCTTCACGGGGGCTTCTAGCGTGTTGATGGCTTTGCTGATGCTGATAGCCTGCAAGCAAAAACAGAGACCACCGAGGTGAGAGGCAGCAGGGGGCCAATGCGGGATTCCTTGCGATTAAGAAGTCCCCGTCAAACCACTGCAGTCTTTAATATCCAGGCGTGCCGGCGGAGGCTTCCTCCAAACCGCCTGGGCTGCAAGACCCATCATCCCCAGCCAGCACGCTCTCTAACCCCTCCGCAAGCCCAGCGTCAACCGTGGCAGTCTGCCAACCCTGCCCCCAAAACGTGACCCAACGCGGTATCTCTGGGCAACCATTTCAATCAAAGGGCAGAACGAAAAGGCTGAACGGGGGGGGGGGAAACACAATAGCAAAGGCGCCGGAGTGTCTTTGGACTTTACCCTGCAAATCACCTGGATGGAAGCGCTTTCTGATAACACTTTTGGAAAGAAAAAGAAAGTGGGGGAAAGAAAAGAAAGGAAAACAAGGCCAAACCCATAAGCTTCAGCTCTGCTTCTCTACTGGAATGTCGGGGGAGAGATAAAAAGAGAATATCTCCCCCAACCCTCTGTTTATATTACCCTGAACCCCCACAGGAGATAGGGTACAACAGGGAAGGACGCAGTAAAATAATAAAGACCTTCATAAGGCGAAAATGGATGCAGGGATTGGATAACTCGTCCCAGTCTTTAAAATTATGAACTGAAAAGAAGCCTTAACTGCTTTGTTTTGCTTAGAATCAGGGAAGGAGAAATTTAATTTAATTTAACTATATGAATTTCTTCACGCTCACTGATGGGTTTGCAGACATGGGATAGATTTCTACGCTTCCTGTCTCATTAAAAGTTTTTCAAGTTTCTAGACCTCTTGACTGTTAAAGAAAACACTTCTGGTCCAAGCCTGATGGAATCCACCACTAGGTGCAAGCATTTCAAAAAAGAAAATGCAGCCGTAACGTGATGATCAGGAGTGAAAATGCTTCTCTCGTTTAGCACTCGATACTAGATTGCTTCTGCAGCTCTGCCAAGAAAACCACAAGGAGATCACAGAAGACTGGAGCCGGAAGGGATCTAGGAGGTCACCTGGCCCAACCCTCTGCTCAGGTGGATGCTCTGATCAGATTCTCTGAGGTCATCAAGACTGATCCAAGCTGGCACTTTCCAGCAGCCGTGGGGGGCACCCAGCTGAGGGTCTCCCCCTTGCAGGGGGCAGCTGAACTGGAGAAAAAGCCATTTCAATACCCTTTTTGGAAAAACTGGAGGCAGCAAAGTTCCATGAATTAATGTCTGGAGATGAATAAGCTGGTCCCTCCCACGCTAACGCAGAGCAGAAGGTTTATAAAATCCTGCATGGCATTGCTCCACTGGGTGCAGGGTTTTTAAGGCCCTTCTCTTTCTTTTTTTAGCCTCCGAGTAACGTATCTTTTCTCAAATGTTTTTTTTTAACACATTTGACCAAAAAAAAATAGAAAAGGAATACAAAAGACACTCCAGCACACACAAACAACCCAGAAAAAGAAATATATGAAGAACTACCAAAAATAACAGCTATTCAGGTTAACAAAAAAAAAAAGGAAAACAGGAAAAAGGAAGAACGAAGTCTGTTCCCTGTTAGTCGAATATCAAACTCACTTCTAAATCAACGTCAAAAAAAAGGTTCTCTAACACCACAAGATATTGCAAAACCTATGCCATAAAAGAACACATTTTTCAATCAGGAGACAAAATTGCTTTTTCAAAAATCGGTAAGTCGCACTTCTGTGGAATCCAGTCCTTAATATCTGCAATATTCCAACTTTCCCAATTTCTCAAAATTGGGTACCATCGACCCATTCCCCCCCCCCCATATAAAGCACCACAGAAAGTTTACAAAGTCTTGCTCATTACTTAGGGGACTTGCTCATTACTTAGGGGACTTGCTCATTGCAACTTAGGGGATTCGGCCCGTTTTAAAGCAGCCTTCCCCAACCTGCTGCCCCCCCAAGGCCTTGAACATCCATCGCCCCGATTCCCAGAAGGTGGAATAAATTCTGGGGAGGACCTTTTTTGCCCTGGGGCTCTTGAGACGCGAGCAGGGGAGCTGGAAGTCCACCTGCCCCATCACGAAGAAGGTGGCACAAGGAAAGGATGGGCCGACAAAAAGAAATATCGTATTTCCAAAAGGATGGGACTGGATTCCCGCAGCGTCCTGCGCGCATTCACACATGCAGGGCAACCTGCAGGTTTTGTTCAGCCTAACCGAACGCTGGCTAGACTGGTTGCTTTTCTACGGATGCTCCACCACGGACGGGCCTTGGCAAGGAGGGCGAAGGCCGGGCTCCGTCGCGGGGAGCCTGACCTCCTTTCGCACAGAGGCCCATTGTCGGATCCCTTCATTGAGATGCGAAGAGCTCAGCCTCCGGCTGAACGGAGGAAGTCAAAGAGACTGTGGGCTCCCGCAGGCAGCGGCCGTGGCGGCTCGGCCCGTCTCTGGACCCGTCTCTGAACCCTTTGCTAGGCCCGCAGCGAGACCCCCAACACGCGCACCCCGGGATGCGTTTCTGGCCCAGCTGCCCGATCCCCCCAACGTGAACATCTGGCTCAGCGTGACCTGCAACGCCGTATTAACACCTTGCAGCTTATGGGGGAAACCTCTTTGCTTCCCAACTGAATTTTTTCCTCCAGAAATTTGGTTTTTTTTTACTTTTCCAGTTGCAATTCCTATGATAGGCTTGAGAAAGGACTCTGTCTTGCGTAGGTCACTGTCTTCTGAAACAGCAAAGGAGCCAAGGTGGTCTGGGGCTGGGCTGGAAAAGGGAAGCCCCATCTTGCAGGGGGTGGGAGGCCCTTAGGAGACCCCGCAGGATGGGGGATACCAGCGATGGAGCAGCTCCGGGGTCTTCCCTCTCCTTCCACCTTCCCGCTTGGCCCTTGGGCCGGAGAAGGAGCCTTGGCCCAAACCAGCACAGCCACCAGGAACTGCAGCAAGGAAAGACGTGCCTGAATTTTCCTGGAATGCCCGATTTTTTTCCTCTTCATTGCATTCCTTTCACTTTTTTGGAACGCCTGCTTGAGTTTGATCCACCAAGAACGACCCCCTTCCTGGGATTTTTCCTCTCCCCTCCCTTTCCTCCCCATCCTGCCTTTTTGTACGCCTGATGGGGAAACCATTGTGCCTTGAACGGTAGGATAAAAAAGCCATAAACCAGGGTTTCTCAACCTTGGG